AAGCCACATATGGTAATCCCAACTCTAATTCCTGAGCTAGAACTCGAAAAAAAAGCTTCAATACTTGGTGTTAACTACATCACAGAAGAAGAGGCAAAGAACTAGGTCAGTCTAAATGCACATAAACCCAGAGAGCGAATTAAGACATGGAAAGCAAGATTGCAAAAACATTAGAAAGAATTAGATCTAGGTGTTAAGCCATATGAGGCAAATGATCTAGATAGTTGTAAGACCCTTTTCCATAATCTTGAACTAAATGATCCAGAGATAGTTTATCTACTGACATTAAAAGAGTTAGAGTCTGAAGGCAGTTCTGGATTTAAAATACAATCATTTAGAAAAGGTAATAAATCTAAGAATTTGATCAATAAAGAATTTGAATGCTTAGGAGAAATTAAGGGGTATGAAAGGTCAGAGAAGGATTTAGAATTTAGGGAACAAAAAGAATTGGAAACAGTAGTTAAAAGAAGAGCTACAGCCGTACATCATGCAAAAGTTTTCAAATTTCATCCAGATAATGGTAGTGATATACAAAAAATGTTAGAGAGTAGAAAGAAGCAGTTTAAAGAAATACTTGAAAAGGAATTTGATAAGCGTGAACAATTTAAGTTCGCTCTATATTCTCTTATTAAATTTCTTATAGATGATAAACCTGAGAATAAAAAACAGGGAAAAAAGAATTCACAAACTGATTGGCTTAGAAATAAGCAAATTATAGTTTATAATAGAGATGAAATAGGTGATTACTTAAGCAATGCTTTTGAACAAATTCTATACCAAGTGGAAAAGAGGGGAGGTAAGACTAATTCTTGAGAATATATTTGGATGGTAATACTGTGTCTAGCAGGACGATTTGTAATTCTTCTCTTACAAATAAGCGTCTAAGACCCTTGTAAAGCTTGTAAAGAATAAGTTGATTTTCTTTTAATAAATAAGAATTAATTGTAAAGACTTCAAAAGACCAATTGCAATCAGTTGCTCTTCTTCTACCACCTTCTAATTCACCAGATTCTAATAGATGCTAAACTTCTGTATAGCTAGATAAAAGTAATTCATTATAACCAATTGGTCTTCTATGTTTGACAGAAGGTCTAGCTATTATTTTTTTACCTTTTAATACTCTTTTTACAACCTTGTTAGGAAACATACCTATTAGCTTAGTAGGAGTATTATTGTAAATATCATCATTTATACAAAGTTTCTTAACCCACGCTCTGGATCTATCAGTTAAAGGTAAATGAAAATCTACAGCATCTTGCTGAAAATAAGCATGCTTTTCAAATTTTTGATAGTCACGTTTAACAATAGCTATAGCATGTTTAGAGTTAGCGTACTAAATTTTTACACTATGTCTAAACAATAAATCCTTACATTCGCCCATAAACTCAATATCTCTATCAATGATTAAAACATTTGGCCAAATAAAAAAGCAATTTGGATCATCATAAAGTTTCTGAAATACCTTGGCCACTTGTATAGATGATTTATTGGTTAAAGTAAAACTACGATGAAAACTAATAGCTACATCTTTTATTACATGCCTATGCTTATAAATTCGATTGCCTATTTTATAATGAGAAAATAGTGTAGTATCAGATTGATGAATATCATTTAGATCTTGTATATCATTAAAAGAGGTATACTGAATGAATTTAGGCTGTGGCTTGTGTATCTGATATAAAACTTGACAGTTTAGCCATTTTTTTATTATAGATAGAGTAAATTTATACCTGACTTTTTTGCAAGCATCCAGCATATTTTTAGTAGTCCAATAGTAACCTTCAGGTCTATAATATATCTCTTGTAAAGTAAGAATCTGATCTAAGTCTCAAGCTTTTTAAAGATCAATATAAATCAAAGGTTTTCCCATTCCAATTTTTTATAATTACGAAAAAAAAGCTGACATTTATAAAGGCAAATTCTAGCTATTAGATTAGGCACTTTTTTCTTTACGCTTTTGCCTTACCTCTATTTTCTTCTGCAGGTTTACCGTAAATGGTTGACTAAAGTACCTAGGTATTTTACAAATTCGTGAAATTGTAAGGGTATTATACTATAGGATACTTTAGTCTAAAAGGGAGGGTATTACACTATACCATATAAGGTCTATGATTGAAATTAAGTTAACTAATAAAAAGTTTAAATATTTGCATGCATTTTAGATAGTGGCTTAGCTTTTAATAAACGAAAAATTTTTTTAATGAAAATTTTTTTAGCGAAACTTTTTTTAAATGAAATTTTTTTTTTAAATGTAATTTTTAATGATTTTTTTGACTTTTAACGATTTTAACATTTAACATTTAACCTACCGCTGATTATTTATAATCAAAATGATATATCATAAAACACATTTTAAAAACTTTTTTTTTTAGTTTCATGTTTTGACTTTTGTTTTTTGTTTTTCTTTTTTCATTTCTTTTGACTTTTTCATTTTTTTTGATATAGTTGTTTATCGAAATAGACTTGTTAATAAAAAAATAAGAGTAACAATTAAACAAAGAAGACAATGGTGTACTAAAGAAAAGTTACTTGTAATAAAACATGCAGAACAATGTGAAAGTAAGCGTTTAACTGCAAAATAGTTTCAAATAGAACCAAAGTAAGTTCGAGACTAGATAAATCAAAAAACTAAACTTGAAAGTGTTGCACCATATATTCAGAAATTACGTAAAGGCAAAAATCTAGCTTTTTCAGAACTTGAAAAAGAGCTTTCTTTATGGGTAATTGATCTATGTAAATCTGCAAAAGCTGTTACGTAAAATATGGTAGTTATAGAGGGTGGACAAAAGTTTCTGGACATCCTTATAAATGCGATTTAAAAAATTTTCATCATATAATTGTGATACCATACTGCAGTCATATAACTGTCTATTGTTTATTTTCATAATCAAAATAAAAAAATTCGTGTTTTTTTTGTTGTTTGATTTAATTCACTTAATCTCTACCAAATTGAAAAATAATGGGATAAAATAAAGAATTAATCAAAGAACAACGCGGAGCCATATTTTACTTAGCCAGCCCAAAGTCCTGATCTTAACCCAATTAAAAATTTATGGGCTGATATTAAAAAAAACATTCGTACATATTTAAAAACTACCATCGAATCTTGCTAACCTCAACCGATATGTTAAAAAGGTATGACGAGAAATTCTGATGCATACTATTGAAAATTTAGTTGATAGTATATCATAGCAAATTCAAGTTGTAATTACGGCAAAGGGAGGCCCAACCAAGTACTAAAATTTAATACGAAATGTATGCCTTAACCAGCTCTAAATAACATAATATTAGAACTTTTACTATTAATGCTAAGAAATTATAAGTTTTATATTTAGTGAAAAAGTATCTGGAAACTTTTGTTCACTCTCTATAGAAAAGCAAAGTTATTGGCTAAAGAAAAAAAATAGATAGACCTTTATGCAAATATTAAAAAATTTAAATTTTCAGAAGCATGGTTAGAAGGATTTATGAAAAGGTATAATTTTGCTACAAGAAGAAGAACTCATATTGCTCAACATCTTCCTGATGATTTTTTGGAAAAGCAGCAAAACTTTTTAGCATTTATTTTATATAGATACATTCAATATGACTATCCATTACAATACATTGGTAATATGAATGAAACTCTGATTACATTTAATTTATCTTATCTAACTACTTTAGATCATCGCAGAAATTCAACTATTAATATACAAACAACAGGTCATGAAAAGTCAAATTTTACATTTATTTTAACATGTATGGCTGATGATACAAAATTACTAGCAGTTTGTATTTTCAAACTTAAAAATATTTCAAGAGTATCATTTCCTCAAGGAATTCATATACATGTAAATGAAAAAGGATGGTGTAATGAACAAGAAATGCTTTGGTGGATTGAGAATGTATGGACTCAAAGAAATCCACTTGGTAATTCAAGATCTTTATTAGTTTTGGATTCTTTTCGTGAACACCTTGTTAAATCTGTTAAAAATAGATTTAATGAAAAGCAAACTAATATTGCAGTTATTTCTGGTGGACTTACAAGTAAATTACAACCACTAGATGTAGCTATTAATAAAAGTTTTAAAGCAAATTTATATCAATATTATAATGATTAGATGAATTCTGAGGTCCGTAAATTAACACCTTTTGGAAAAATCAAAAAACTTTTATATGCTAATGTTACTAGTTGGTAAAAAGATCATGAGATGATATTGATATTAATTTGATTAAAAAGTCATTTAAATGTTGTGGTATTTCTGTTGCTAGAGATGGTAGTAAAGATAATTTAGTATTTGATTATAATAGTTTGAAAAATAAAAAAAATAAAAAAACTGAACAAATAATTCATATTGATGACGATGAAGGAAATCAAAGTAGTGATGAAGAAGATAGTTATAATAGTGATATAGATGAGTATGAAGAACAAGAAATAGGCTATGATAATGAATATGTTTAATTTGATGTATTTTTTTTTTTGGTTTTATAATAAATTTTAATATTTTTACGATTTATATAAATGCTATATAAAAAATAATTGGTATAATAATACCCCTGGGTATTATACAAATTTTTGCAATTTTTTTCCGAAGTCCTCATGTATAATACCTGGATCTTTTACATCAGATTTATGGGGAGGGTATTATACTATAGGGGGTACTTTAGTCAACCGTTTTACGGTAATGGAGTATCAAACCTTAGACGGATTGCAAGGGGATCATCTTCCGGCCTAGTGAGAACAAATACAATAAATTCACCTCTTCAAAGGTAGCTATTAATAACCATGGATGCATTCTTCACATCATCAGTATAACGACCAGCTATTTTGGATACATCTTGAGGAGAACTTTAAAGAAAAAAGTTTTTAATTCTGTAATTTCGATTAAAAATCACACGGGCAAGAACGAGCACGTGATTTTTAATAACTGATCGCGAACATGATCATTAAACGCGTGATGTAAAATTTTTGGGTATATCTTAAATCGCTATTTTCATAGATACTATTTTAACTGTTAGTTATGAAAAAGAACCTGCTTGCTGATGGTATGCTTGTTGCTTTTGCCTTATTTTTGCCGAACTAGCCTCATTTCGTTCGTTATCATTCAGTTAGTGAACAGTACTTCAAAACAACTCCCGTAAATGACTGGTCTTATCTTGGATACTTGGATGCAATGAAGCTGTACTTCTATGATTATGCTTCAATAGCCTCAATAAAATCTTCGTGGAGAAAAAGTTTCTTGGCTGTACTGAGGTTTTTTGAAAAGTGTCAAGATCAAGAGAGAAGTAAGACAGCTACTTTCCTCATAAATGAGGTCTGTAAAAATATTTTTCTATCTTTTAGTATCAATAGCAAAATCTGTGGAGCTCCTGGAAGGTAACGCCCTTGACCTCTTGGAGTTAGGTAACGCCTTCGGTGCTATATATAGCAAGCTCTCAACATGGAATTGTCTTGCACATTTGGAATATTTGGAATTGAGCTAATATAATGAAGATTCGCTTTTTTATAGAAGAGCAATAAACAAGAAATATCAGAGTATTGGAATCGTATCGAACAAGAAAGAGCACTGAAGGCGAAACAAGTATGAAAATATGGATTTAAATATTTAATAGAATCATCACACTAGTTATTAATATGAATGGTTTTAACTGAACAGTTGGCTGTGAAAAATAAAACACAATCTTCTGCGTTAGATATGCCGAATGTTGCAACCAGCAATCAAACAAACCAAGTTATTAAGTTGCTTGAAGAGGAAGAATCGGTACAATCTTTTAAAACAAATTAAGCCTTTCAATGAGTATGCTTTTAAAAGGTTGGGTAACTTTTATTACAGGATGGGTCATCATCAAAAAACGCGAACTCTAATCTAGATCCAGATGCGAGTGAAGAAGATCAGGAAGAAGAGGAACCCAGAATCCAAGCCAATGTCATCAACTTGTCAGCGTTCATGGATCCTCCGTAGTGGTACGAACGTAGGAGATAAATTAACAAGTTATATCAAGACGATTCCTGAGGCCCAAAATGTTTGAAGTAGGTTTATTAATAGATAATATGGATGTTTGATAATGATTCTTTTAATTATGGATTTTTTTCACCATAGCCTCGCATATTGGAATATACTTGATTTGACTGAGAATAACAAATGAAATCTCTTTTCTCGACGAATGACTGGAAGGAAATGGTTAAAAGTTTCAATAATGAAGTTAAATTGGTCGATTCGGATTTTCTTGATGTGGTAGAGTATTTTTTCAATGAAGTTGAAAAAGTAAGTTAAGAGAAAATATTTGTCTTGTTTCAATACTTTAAAAAATGTTGCTGACTCGAACAATTTAGATTACAAAAAAGATGATAAAGATATCATCAACGCGATCGACAGATTAACACCAGAAATTATTGAAACGAATCAAAAAGTAAAGCTTAGCGATGAGGAAAAAAATATTATTTCCATTTTAAGACGGGCTGTTATCACGTAGTAAGTGAAGCAAAATGTAATTATTAAAAACTTTATTCTGTTTTCCTTACGGTCAATTCTTCCATATATAGTGCTGAAAATCTGGAAAGAGTTGATCTTCCCATTTCCGAGGTTGACTTTGACAACGCATTTCCAAACATGCTTGCCAAAAGATTCCTAAATAGAGAGGAACTAAAGATGGATGTGTAAGTATAGATAAGCAATATGACCAGTCTGATTTCATGTAATAAAATTCCATCTTTCATAATTTTATAGTAGGGAAATTGCATGTTGGGCGTCAGCTTATCGCCGAAATGAAGGTCGTTCCGTTGTTCTCAGAGCTCGCATTGGACAAAAGTGCGATTTTCGAGGAACTTTGAAAAAGAGTATCAACAAGCTTGAGGCTCTCATAGGTCTCAGAAGTGGTGGACTCCCAGAGCCTTATCGAAAAAAAATTTACGAAGACAAAGTTGATATAAGTGTAGCAATGCGGGATATCTTGTATACGTTTTTTAAAGAGAATTCTAAAGCATATTCATTTCACATTTGTCTTTGGAATATATTCATGGGGTAATTAAGCAGGAGAAACAGTCGTAGTAATGAAATTGCATCAACTAACGATTTTTCTTTGCTTTTTGCTAAGGATGGGTTCATAATATATATGGGATGGACTGTAAAGCGACGAATATACTATGGCTTAGTTGTATTTCTCATTTAAAGATGCCTAACACCCTAAAAACGCTCTCGGTACTCGAAAGTTTCTACGTACTTTTCACGGATTTGCAGGTATTATATGTTTATCATTACTACACCTGATAATATTTAGAATCTTACTATTATAATCACCTAATTTCAGACCACGTTGAATACTATTTGTGAACATACAAATAGTATCTCGCTTGCACATTCACATGAACACAGAAATCGAAAAAGGAAGAATCCGGAACAAGCTGGTGAGAAAGGGGGATCATTTGGAAATCCTTCACAAAGCCCAGCAAGTAAGAAGGGTAGAAAATATGAAGATCATTAAGCATGAATTATGTAGATTCTTTCTTAGATTAAAAAGTAAATATAATTTAATTAAGTATCATAGGAACATTTCGAGGTTGTAATTACATTTCGCGTCATCATTTGTAATAAGCTGAAAATTTAAAAATAAAGGCAAGCACCAAATTCTATCACATCATATTACTTCAGAAACTATTTCGCCATATCCAGTGGAAACGTGTCCAGTACTTTTATATTGCGATATGTGTGTCGGAATAAATATGAAAAAATAATCTTATAATTATAAAGCATTTAAAGTTTCGAGTTTATCCAATAAGATCCAACTCTCGAAGATGCTTAGGGATAATTATGTATGGGTCTTCGTAATACCAAACATACCTTAGTGCAATCCGATTCTCTTCGCATAATTCTTTCTTGAGTTGATTCCGCTCTTGCTGTTTGATAAAATTATTGGGATCGTCATTATGAAAGAATTCTATATATCTTTTGTGTTGTTCTCCTTGTACTTTGATTGCCAATCCATATTGTGGGTAATAAATGTCAAGTTCTAATCCAGTTGGGTGATCTAAAGTTTTAAGAAAATCAGGTCGGCGTATCTTAGATGGTGGTCCAAGATATTTTGACATAATCTTTCGACACAATCTTTCACGTTTATATTTAAAGCAATATGGACACCATGAATTATCATTTTTTACATGAGAAAGGGTAGTATACCATTGATGGCTTTTATTGCATCTCCAAAGTAACTGGCTCTTGCAATTGATATAGGAATCTGACAAACATTCTCCACCTTGACTATATGCAATAGATTTGGCCATCAAAATATCAAATTTTGTACTAGCATAATACAGATACCAATAGTTTTTGTTTTTAATACCACTGATGGAAGCGAGCCATTCATGTGATTTAAAACATCTCCAGCGTAAATGCGTTGTATAATTGATGTAAACATCAGATAAACATTCTTCATTTCTGCTATGTACTAATTTTTTCGCATATTCAATGTCAAGTTTCTCAGATTTACCTACAAAATGTAGGCACCAAGTCCCTCTTTGAATACTATCAATCTGAGCAAGGCATGAATGTCCTTCAGAATATCTTCAAAAGAGTGGAGTACGTCTGTTATGATAAGAACTAGAAAGACATGTTCTGCCCCTTTTATTTGCAAGAGTTTGAGCAAATTCAAGTCTAAGTTTCATGCATTCCCGGTATCAATTTTCTTTATTTTTAACATTTAAAAGCGATAGGTGAAATTGATGATTATTTTTGCATTCCCATAAGAGAGGTGAGCTATTGTTGACATAATTCTCAGAAATACACCTTTTATTTTTAGCACATGCTAATTCTTTGGCTACTGAAATACTGAGTTTTCTATTTGAGCAATAAGGACACCATGAATGACGATTTTTGATAGATAGAAATGAACAATTCCATTGATGGTTTTTATTACATTTTCAAAGCATTAAAATTTCACAATTGATATATTCTTTGGAAAGACATTTTCCTTCACGAGATTCTGCTATCTTTATTGCATCATCTAAAGAAAATTTTTTTGACATTGTGGTTAACAAAATATGGTTTTTGAAAAAGTATCCTACTTTTCAAAATACTATGAAGTATTACGAACTACGCAAATTAGATGAAACAATACCTTAAAAAAAAGAATCCATTCACTCCTAAACATCTATTTAGACTACTAGTTGCGGGCACCTTTGAGTTTGGAAAAACAAGCATGATAATACATTTGCTTCTAGGAAGTAAATATCCAAAAATATATTCATGGATGTCTGGTGAAAAACGTGATCATAAAATACCAAAAGGCGGAAGCAAAAATTTTAGTGAAAGATATATTCTGTGTGATGATCTAATTGTTGTTATGCAACACCAAGATGAAGAGTTATAGGAAGCAATATAATGTTTTTATGAATTTATATTCATGGATAAGCAAGCTCTATGGTATGAAAATGTGAGATTTAAGCTGATCGCACCTGAAGAACTACCTGATATTTCATCTTTCAAAAAAACTGGCTGATTTACTGTTGTAATCTTTGATGATCTTGTCAGTGAACTTCTAGCAACTCAGCTAAAAATTATACCTTTTTTTAGGTCGGGTAGACATGAAGGAATTAGTGCAATTTATATCGCCCAGCATTTTTATGAAACCCATCCAAACATACGTACAAATCTTAAATATATTTCATTATACTGTGGATGTGAAACATTGAATAATATAAAACGAATTCTTAAAAATATGTATGATGATTATGAGCCTCTGGCAAAAAAAGTTTATGAAGTGATAAAAAAACATTTTGTGGTTATTGATATTTAAAGACCACCTGATGACTCCTTATCAATCAGATTTAGATAGGACAAACCTTTAAAGAATTGGCAAAATGATTAAATTCAGGATGATTTGTGCTTTGTAGCCTCATCCATATCCATAAGATAAAATTTCATAAGAGGTAGTTCTGTCTTTTGATTCTTCTGCATATCGGGTTGGAAATCCATAATTATAATTTCTATTTAAGAGTATTTTATAGTTCAGAATATTTTTTTCTTCATTGTAAGATAAATATAGATGAAATAATATGCACTATAGGAAGTATATGATTAGTAATATTATTATGAAGATGATTGCATGCTGAAAAAATGAGAAATTAGGTGATACTGAAATTGTTTTAGGACTAGCGATTTTATTACATTTCTCTAGTCCTTTATCACCTTCAATTACTTCATTTTGCTTAGATTCACTAGATGTTTTCAAAATCTGCTCTAATAAAAAAGTATTAGTTTCTTGAAGGAGAGAATCTTTCTCTATCACTACCTTTTGTGCTAAAAGTAAATCATCTTTCACCCATATTAATTCATCCTTTTTTTTGGTCAGTGTATCTTCTAACTCCATTTTTACTAATTCTAAACTAATATTTTTGTTAGATAGTTTTATGTATTCCTGTTCAGATTTATGCTTAAGAAAATCCATCTTTGATAATCTCTTTTCTGCTAAAAAAAACATTCTGCTCTAATTTCTTTACTCTTGAATGAAGAGCTTGTATCTCTTCCAATTTTATAGCAATCTTACTTTAGCATTTGCAAAAGAAATCTCTTTTTAATTAATTTCATTTTTGAGTTCTCTTGCCTCATCTTCAAGCTGGTATACACGCTCTGAAAAACTCTTATTATTTTTTATCAAGAGACTGTTTCTAGTGCCAAGCTGAATACCTGAGCTTAAAGCAATATCTAAATTATGTTTTAGACAAGTAACTTGATTCTCAAGCTCAGTTCAGCTAGATAGATATCAATTAAATAGTGAATCTCTAAGTTTATTGCCAGATACTAAAGGTGCTCCATTATTTATTTCATTCAGCGTATGTATGTTCACCATATAATTTATTTGAAGATATTTTTTTTCTTGGCATTTTTTTCTTCGAATAATGGAAAAAGGAGTTTAGAATCAAACCAATATCATATTAATATCATACTAATAAAAAACCAATAATAAACTAGTTTAAAATAAATATAATATTTGAAACATATGTATCCTAAACCTATTTTTTATTTGAATCATAGTTATAGCACGCTATACTGTAAAGAAAGCGAACTACATATATATAACAAACCAATGTCAGACTAATGCCAGACTAATGTCAGACCAATATCAAATAAATTTTCTACAAGTTTTTTATTAGTATTATACAGATTTATTACTAGCAAACTATGAGCAAAAAATAAATAACCCATACTCGTAAATTTCTTAGATCAGATGTCTGACACTTGACATTTGAAGCTATTGAAGAAATTAGAAATACTCAGAATAATATTCCAGATGCTCAGCGTATTATGTGTAAAAAGCATCGTATAAGATCAATAACATATTAAAAAATAATTGATAATAAGAGGCCTTCTGAACCTACTGAAGAATGGCATAGAATTATAGAATCTGTTAGCATCTCTAACCAGATTTCAAAAAATAATCAGAAATTTTCATATGATACTTCCTCCTCTACTATCATACAAGTAGACAAGATCACTCATATAGAATGTCCTATAGATAATGAGAATAATGCAAATTCTAATGGTCTGAATACAGTAACTAGTGAGTGAAAAGATAAAGTTAGTCAGAAAAAAAAAGGCTAATATAAAGCTAAAAGATGAATCTTATTCTTCTACAGATAAAGTAGACAATGCTCTCAAAGGAAGCGATACATTTAGACGGAAATTAGATCTTAATAAATTAGTAAATATTATTAGAGAAGCTGTCATGTATCTGATTTTTTTTTTTTTTTTTAACGTGCGGTAGCTTTGCACAATCTTTATTAAAAGTAAAGTAAAAAGGATTACAAATTAC